GTTAAGATCTGAGGTAGGAGGAAAACCCGCAGACAAACCAGCTCTCCAGCACCAGGATTGGATCTGTGCACCAGGGAGAGCTCCTGTCAGGATAATCGGTCTCCAAAGTGCAAGTCACACAAAGGGGTTTTACTCATTTACACCTCAAAGAGATCATGTTTGAACTCCATCTTTCATTTGTTATTTTGATTCTTTAATAAATATTGCATGCGTTGTAATATGCTGTATGTAATTTACAAGAGTGTAATTTATTGCTCAACTGGGTAATTGGTTGCTTCAGCTTGTGAACTAATGGGAAGTACCAGAGGTGGGATTGATGAGCCCCAAACAAATAATTAGTTAAAGAGGAACGAGCCTCTAATGAAACATCCATATTTCCTATGAAAATTGTCCACAGGGTGTGTGAGAAAATCCATACACACCCATCCATGATCACACAAAAAAGGCACAAATTTCCAGAGACACAAAATATTATTTTTGTCCATCATCCGACTGTCCCATCTCCAGCGCGGCAGCGTCCGCGAGCTGTGTGCGCTCAGCAAACCCCAGAAAGATGCCGGATGAATCTCTCTGGCTGTGAGGCCAGAGACCTGACAGTCAGTTGTATCCCCTGCTCACAGAAGCCTGAGTTCAGACTATGCCATTTGTTAAAAAAGACCAGCCTTAGCACACTTTGCGATGCGAGAGCAGGCAAATTCTAGACATTAATCTGTAGAACCACTGATCCCCGGCCATATTTGTGTTCTGCCTCCAGCTGCCTGTGTGGCAAAAGCTCAGCCATCTTGGTTGTACAGCAAATCACATGACAGACTCAATCAAGTCTGACAGCCTGACCTGCGTTAAGGCATGACGCCGCATGACACACCTTATAAATGGAGGAGAGCTCTGAGTAAGCTGGGCCAAGCCCCTCCTCCCTATGATGTTCGCAGCATGCCTGTATATGAGCTATAGACCCATCCCCACTGCGGGACAGTGCTTCCAACCTGTTTCCCCCACCGGCCCCACACCAGCTGTGGGAAAGGCTGGGTCAGGCCTCACTCCACCCACCCTTATTGGAGCCCTAACTACTGCTCCACACTCCCCCCTTACTCCCTTAGGAAAAGCACAGAAAACACAATAACGTGTTTTGTTACTGATAGAAAGCAATAGTATCACAGAGAGCACACAGGCAGTGAGAACCAGTGTTCAAGCACATTGCACTGGTTAAAGGAGGGGATGTTGTTGGCTTAGAATACTGAATTAATTATTGAATGAATTAATAAGTAAAAATGAGAGAGACCTGCTGTCTAGCCTCAGGGCTTGGTCATGCCTGAGGCAGGATGACCCCTTCACCACAGGACCACCTCTTAACTCTGCACGGGAACTGAAATATCTAACAAGTACTGTACATCCACAGTTCAATATTTACTCACAACACACTATCAGACACGCACAACAACTAATGAAGCATTTGAAAGATATTCAAAAATATAAACTGGAACTGAAAACTATCATCAATCTTATTTATGAGTGCATTATTGTGTACCTGTGTAGGTACAGTACAGTGGTGTGAAAAAGTGTTTGCCCCCTTCCTGATTTCTTATTTTTTTGCATGTTTGTCACACTGAAATGTTTCAGACCATCAAACAAATTGAAATATTAGACAAAGATAACACAAGTAAACACAAAATGCAGTTTTTAAATGAAGGTTTTTATTATTAAGGGAAAAAAAATCCAAATCTGCATGGCCCTGTGTAAAAAAGTGATTGCCCCCTAAACCTAATAACTGGTTGGGCCACCCTTAGCAGCAACAACTGCAATCAAGCGTTTGCGATAACTGGCAATGAGTCTTTTACAGCGCTGTGGAGGAATTTTGGTCCACTCATCTTTGCAGAATTGTTGTAATTCAGCCACGAGCCTTAACCGCTTTTTTAAGGTCATGCCACAACATCGCAATCGGATTCAGGTCAGGACATTGGCTAGGCCACTCCAAAGTCTTCATTTTGTTTTTCTTAAGCCATTCAGAGGTGGACTTGCTGGTGTGTTTTGGATCATTGTCCTGGTGCAGAACCCAAGTGCGCTTCAGCTTGAGGTCACGAACAGATGGCCGGACATTCTCCTTCAGGATTTTTTGGTAGACAGCAGAATTCATGGTTCCATTTACCACAGCAAATCGTCCAGGTCCTGAAGCAGCAAAACAGCCCCAGACCATTACACTACCACCACCATAGTTTACTGTTGGTATGATGTTCCTTTTCTGAAATGCTGTGTTACTTTTATGCCAGATGTAATGGGACACGCACCTTCCAAAAAGTTCAACTTTTGTCTCGTCAGTCCACAGAGTACTTTCCCAAAAGTCTTGGGGATCATCAAGATGTTTTCTGGCAAAACTGAGACAGGCCTTTATGTTCTTTTTCCTCAGCAGTGGTTTTTGTCTTGGAACTCTGCCATGCAGGCCATTTTTGCACAGTCTCTTTCTTATGGTGGAGTCATGAACACTGACCTTAACTGAGGCAAGTGAAGCCTGCAGTTCTTTGGATGTTGTTGTGGGGTTTTTTGTGACCTCTTGGATGAGTCGTTGCTGTGCTCTTGGGGTAATTTTGGTCGGCCGACCACTCCTGGGAAGGTTCACCACTGTTCCCTGTTTTCACCATTTGTGGATAATGGCTCTCACTGTGGTTCGCTGGAGTCCCAAAGCTTTTGAAATGTGTTTATAACCTTTTCAAGACTGATAAATCTCAATTACTCTGTTTCTTATTTGTTCCTGAATTTCTTTGGATCGCAGCATGATGTCTAGCTTTTGAGGATCTTTTGATCTACTTCACTTTATCAGGCAGGTCCTATTTAAGTGATTTCTTGATTGAGAACAGGTGTGGCAGTAATCAGGCCTGGGTGTGGCTAGAGAAATTTAACTCAGCTTTCCAAAGATGTGATAAACCACAGTTGATTTATGTTTTAGCAATCACTTTTTCACAAAGGGCCATGTACAGTAGGTTTGGATTTTTTTTTCCCTTAATAATAAAAACCTTCATTTAAAAACTGCATTTTGTGTTTACTTGTGTTATCTTTGTCTAATATTTCAATTTGTTTGATGATCTGAAACATTTCAGTGTGACAAACATGCAAAAAAATAAGAAATCAGTAAGGGGACACACTTTTTCACACCACTGTACAGTATGTATTTATGAATTACTGTCATCTTCATACTGTACCTTTTCCTTGTTATATTTCTAGTCCCAATTTTTGTGTGGCTTCAGGAAGCTGCTTGTGTGTTCTTGGTGCTGCTGAATGTAGGAGAATGTAGGGATCCTGAATCAGCATCAAGCTGCACCTCTGTACAGCCCTGACCTTGCCGTGACCTCCTCCTGACCCTCCCCTGACCCCCCAGGAGCCTGTACGTGACCTGACAGAGGTTGAGTCTGTGTTCTCATCGTCGCCAGCTCATCGGCACGCGCAGCTCAGTGATGGCTGGTTGTTGCTCGCAGACACTTGGGTCAAGAAGACAGAGTCTTTGACTCACTGAGACACAAGTCTTTTTTCTGAAGTCGTCCTGGTGCAGCATCCAGACCGAAAGTCCTCCAGTGTTAGAAACCGGTGTAAGCCTGTTTCTTCAGGGCTGAGCACCTTCATCCATTCGTTCTGTTCCTTGTCTTAATTTATTAATTGACATGATCATTTATTTAATTGGTTAAAGTAATTTTTCTTCCCTGTGTCTTGGTAAGTTGCTAATCAAAGACACCTGTAAGTCCTGTAGAATGAGGCTGTCTTACCCTGCCATTTCAGCAGAACCCCAGATTATTGCTATTGATTCCTGAAAATATCATTTCTTCCACTTCCTGTAGTAGTTTCTGCAAATAGCTGACCGTAAACCACATATCCTCTCCATTAAATGTTAAATTACTAATGCTATTACAACACTTAACTGTCCTGATTGAGTATTAACCTAAAGTGCATTTTAACAAAAAAATGGCAGCCTAATGAATTAGACGGGCATGTACTGAAAGGTATTTCAGATTAGAGTAGGTGTTTGCATTTGATACGTTTTCTCATTTCTAATTACAAATGTAATCCTTTTCAGCACACTGGGGATGGAGGGGAATGTTTGCCTACCTGCAGCCTCCTAAGCGATGTTCAGTAAAAATCAACCAGTTAGGAGATCAAAGAGAAACGTCACTGAATGTTTCTAAATTATTCTGTGCTTAAAAATGATATAGTGTAATCACCTGGTCTCCAGTTGCACCTTATACTAGGCCAGGATGTCCTAGTTTTCCTGGTTTTTAATCCAGATGAGCTCTTCATTTCTTGAGCCCTTAATCGAACAGATAATTTGATGGATTACATCTACTGTACTGTTTTCAGCACTTCAACTGCTAGATCTCTGAGGTCAGCTATGAAGTTGCATAGGCAACTTAAAACACACAGCTGAAATAATGACAAGCTCTAATGATGGGATTGATTAGTTCCATTAAGTGTTCAAATAAGCATGCTGCTGAATTGGAAACCAGCACGTTCTATGGCCATGAAGACCAAGATTGGGAAGCCCTGAAAGCTGGCATTTCATCTTTCACAGGAGCTGATCATTGCCTTTGCTGTACATGCTTTGAGCCCACAAGGCACAGTGGCACCGCATTCAGTGACAATGACTTGAAAACATCCCGAAATCCGTACGACTTCGGAAAAACTTGCACCTGTGACTTTCTTTTAAAAAAACACCTAAACTCTAAAATAGAGCGCTGTGTCTTTAACCCAGCCTGCCTGCTGGCCTCATTATATTTTATTTGGAGGGGGGATCTGGCCTCCAAGTACAGGAGGTCAATCGCAAAGGTTGTGGGCACTTTGTGTTCCTATTTGCAAACCCCCCCATCCAAAGACGAACACCACTATCAGGCCCTATTGCACTGCTGTCCTCCCCAAAGACCTTGGGAGCTATTAGTTACAGCTCAAACTCCCTCCCTGTCAAGACGAAGGCTGGCCAGTGTCCAGGGAAAGCACAGCGTCATCGGGAGAACGAGAGTGGTGCGGGGAGGGGAGTGAGGGAGAGCTGATTTGCAGCCTGGATGCGCGCTGTGTTACGAGAGAGAGTGTGTGCGAATGCACAGCAGTGAGGATGGCTCCTCTCTCTCTATCCCTAAGCTTATAAGAGAGAGACGCTCGCACAGCCTTTTGACACAGCGACTGAAGGAGAGAAAGCGAGAAATGCTGCTGGATTAAAAGCCTGTTTCATTTTTGTTTTTTACTTTTCTCTCACTCAAGTCGCTCTCCCTTCTCATTCTGGTCTGTCTCTCTCTCTCTACAGCATTTTTTTTTCTTTTTCTCTTGAAGTTGGAGAGGCAGGGAGGGGGGGGGTTTAAGGGGAGAAGGGGGGGGGAGGGGGGCGTGAGGCTCATCCCCCCGGGCTGGCCTTTGACAGAGAGGGGCTGGGGCCGCAGGGGGCCCCGGGCGGCAAGACTCCGCGCTCGCAATGACAGTGCCGCTGCTGAAGATAGGGGCTGTGCTCAGTACCATGGCCATGGTGACTAACTGGATGTCCCAGACCCTTCCGTCTCTCGTGGGACTCAACGGGACCACCATATCTCGAGGGGGGACATCCGAAAAAATCGTGAGTGTGGGTAAAACTATTCCTTTTTTCACGCCGGGGCAGATTGTTTTTTTAGCTGTTCTGAAGAGATGCATTGTTTTTCTGAAGGGTGTCGTAACTTGTTTGGGGGTGCTGTCAGCTATAAATAGGCTTCCATTGTCCGCCCCCCCCCTACCACCACCACCCCTCCCTCCACCTTCCTTCTCCCAGAGCCCCAGCTTTCTCAATCTTTAAAACAGCTTTGATGTAGCGAGCAGCAGGGGGCTGTGGTAACACATAACACTAGTTATCCAGCCCAAAAATTCTTGTAGTAGCAAGGAGACTTAAAAGAGGGTGCAGGGAGTTGTGTGTTACTGTATGTGCTCCGAAATGTCCTCATATAATCCTGCCGAGAGAAACATGAGATTAGTATAGAGCATTTTTGTCTCTGTGCGTACCTAGATATCTGAATTTATTTTTATCCTTTTCAAAACAAGACTTTAGTGTTTGCATGTGCCGGTTCAACTTGTTATAAGAGCTCTTCTCCGTTGGAGAAATGGGCTCCTGGTGCTGTTTTTTACAGGGGGACGAAGCTTTGAATCCCCCCCCGAGGTGATCTGTAGATAAAAAGATCACCGCTGTAGGAGGACCAAGCTTCGCTACAACTAGTTTAGAGTATCGCTGGAGCTCACTTGCTGCTGTGAGTGTGTGTCGACTTCATCCGGATCATTTCAAAGTGCAGGTTGTGATGCTCTGCCTGAGGCCAGGCTGTGTGCTCTACTAAACAGTAATGTGACATAAAGACCGGTCACTGCTCTTAAACTGGGTTCAGAAAATACTTCGCAAGCAGGTCCTCCTGCTGAAGGGCAGATTATAAATAATTCTTCTGATGCTCGGGAAATACCTGACTGTCGCTCTGTTTCCAAAGTCCTAGTGGAGGAGGTGTATGGATTGATCAGATAAAGATTGTTGGCAAAGGGTTTTTTTGTTAAGAGATTTGCATTTTGATGTATTTATTGGTATACTGAGCACTGTTAAGAATGATTGAGTACTTTCATTTTTCATATGTGAGACCTGAATTAGAATAATCCTGGTAATTTCACAAAAATCCTGGTGGAGATTGAAAAGGGGGTAGTTTAAATCCATGATGGATTATTTCTGCAGATGGGTCTGCGGTTGCTGATCTTGGCCCTTCTGAAAGTTGCCAGTCTGACCTGTTGCTTGGTGTGTGATATTAATGAGCTTGTCTAGGGACTGGACAGAGGGAGTGCATTTCCAGACTGCTGGGCTGTGATACTGTACCTAGAGGCTGTGACAAGTTGCACCTTGATCCACTGGAGGGCGCTGTTTTCCCATGGTTTAGAGGTGCTCCTAATTTCACCCACAGTCTTCATTGAGACTTTATTTGGCCAAATGTATTCACAGGAGGCCTGGAATCCTCAATGAATGGATGGGTGAATGAGTGGATTTATCGATCAATTGTAGCCAATATTTTTAATATTATACATGTTGCCTTTTCATAGGCAAACACCACCTCAATAAACACGTCATGGGAAACATGGGAAATACCATAATAAGATGATTAGATCAATGAATCAGAAGGAACACAGCACCTCCAGCTGGTCTAGTATGGAAAATGACGACACACAGTGTCTTATATTCCACCCCAATGTGTAACTTTCTCATGAAAACGTGTTTTCACATCCATAGAAGGATTTTTTTAAATATGATAAACAGTCAAATCTATCTATGCTGGCTTTTTTCTAGCATTCTCCATTAAGGATGATTCCAGAACTGTGAAATCGGCTGATCAGAGAGTTTTCTTGAGCTGAACTGTCACCGGCTCAGCAGTAACGCACAAGTAAAGCACAGGAGCTCGTTTCCTGGCACGAGCCTGCTCGGGGAACAAAAGCATGAACTACACAAGCCCCAGAGCTCGGCTCCAGATCTAACCCGCAGTAGGGGTGAAGTCACATGTACCGTACATGCCAGAGACCGTCTCCAATACAGTTCCTCTTTTTTTTTTAAAGAACTTTAAAGGGAACCTTTTTTTTTCCTTCAGCAGATTATCGCTCTCAAACAAATGAGTTTTCGAATTTCCCTAATGTGGCTGCACTCATGCCAGCTCCGCTAAATTAAATAAAGGCTCCCGTTGACAAGTCGTTAAATTAACAGACTCTTTACTGACTCTACACTTCCATGATGTCGGACTGAGCTCTGTGGGCACTGCAGTGTTGGAGGGTTCAAACAGGCGTGGGACCAGGGTCCAGGGAACCCACGAGGAGCATGGAAAGAGTAGCTAAGGTGCTTTGATTGTTAATTACCACCCCTGACTGGCTTTCTTCCTTGGCTCAGCTTCATCTCTTTTCTTTAAAGGGGAAGCCGACCTGGGCTTGCCATTACATTTCTGCTAACAAGCTGGTCTGCCTCCTACCCCTGCAGCATGCCCCCTTCTCTGAGTCCCAGTGTATTTACTACAGTCTTAGGCCAGCTGGGCTGTGTGTGTGTCCTTAGCCTGTCTAATCCAGGTGACACACTGGAGACCGGCCCAGTGTGTCTGCAGGTGTCTTATTAAATAAAAGTAAGATGTTCAACTGCACACCAGTGAATCTGGTTCTGTGCGGATGATGGTGGTGCTAGTGTGGGCTTCTGGAAAATGGATGTTTTAAGGTTTTTTATACTTTAAGATTCACAAGAGAAATCAGTCTGTTAAAATGTAGAGAGGCCACAAATTGTCAAAGGGATAATGCACAAGCAGCCAGTGGCCAATGCATTTATTATTGGGGACCAGCTTGACGTATGATGTGGGTTCTTGTTTTAAAAATGCTGTGTCAACCCTGGCCATTGAGGTTCATTCAGGCCACTGCTCACTGCCAGGCTACTGACACTGGACCAAAACTTGCACAGCAACCAAAGAAAAAGCCTTGTTAAGAATGGCTGAAGGCAGACAAGCTACCAGCTACAATATAGAGCACCTACAGTAAAATTCCAGTTCAGTGTTCCAGCCAAACCCATTTCTCAATGATCATGTGAGCAAATGCAGAAATAAGGATCAGGATGTCCTCTATACAGAAACGTTTACCATAATAAATTCTCAGGATGTTTTTGTATTCTTAATATTGGTTTTCCTCAATCTTGCAATGGCATTCAATTTTTTTAAACACTACTGCTACAGGACCTAGCAGTAGTGCTAGTACAGGACCTAGCATTGTATAGATGTTTCCAAGGAATGTGTACTGGATTACACCACGGTATTCCTAAGGTACATTGGAGGAAAGCACAGCAAAGCCATGTTAAACTACTGCAGATACACAAATGAAAGATAACTTCATCAAAGGAACTAAATACTGCGAAATGTCCAGGCTCTACGTACAGTAACTGACATATGTAGTACCGATGTACAATTGCATCTTAACAGCAAGCAAGCAGAAAGACAAAAGAAAATCATGCATACAGCATACGGCACATACGGCAATTAGAAATGTATGAAAAGAGTGCATGGTAAAAACTTGAAATCAAAAAGGCTAGGTCTCTGCTCTGCAGTGACTAAGCTGTAAAGAAAAAAGGCTAACTGGTGCCTCTCAGGTCCTGAATATGGATCTGATTCAAGCCCTGCACATCTGAAATACCGCCGCTCGCCGAGGGATCTTTGGGCACGACGCGCAGTGCAATTAAAGGAGCGCAGTTATTGGATTATCTGTCAGTCACAGGATGGAGCCAAACTGCCTGCTCTGCCCTCCCAGCTATTCCTGCCTGTGAGATGCACATTGTTTCCTGCAGTCTCAATCTGCACGCGTCAGTCTCTTAAGATTTGAAAATAAGAAGTCTGCCACTGTCGGCAAGAAGCATTTCTTTGGACAGCAAAAGGAAAATAAATCACCCTGTTGTTGATTCATTGAGACACTTGATTTTCTTATTCACTAAAGAGAGGTTGCACTACAGTTTAGTAAGAATTGAGCTATTCACTAAAATTCCCTACTTCATGTGTTAATCCTGATCTGTTGTGGACTGGACTGGTTTGGAATCAAATTCAAGGGATTTGGATTGGCATGGAATGGAATCATTTCACTGGATTGTAGCTGAATGGTCTGGAACAGCCAGCCTTTGTCTCAGGGTAGGGCTACTCCACTTGAAGCCCTTCCAAACAACTGTATTACTATTTTGCTTTAACCAATTCCTTAATTGATAATTAGCAAGATCAATACAGCAATTATGGAGGTGTTAGTATTAAAGTGCTGGAATAGAAGGGAAAATTGATCAGGAAGCTGTGAAGTATTAAAGCCAGACTGACCAATTGCCTCCTTTTAAATGTCCTCCTTTAAGTTTGACCTGTCTTCTGTTAACCTAAGTCTTGGTGAGAGGCAATGCGGTCCGTATCAAAAATATGGAGTTGTCAGAAATCAGCATTTCTGTTACGCGCATTCCCAACCTTGCAATATCTTCAGCTCATATGAACAGATGTCAAAAGTAATTTAGGGATGCTTAGGGTTAATCTTTCCTGAAATAACTCAATCCTCTCTAAAGAGAGGGTATTTTTTGGACCTTATCTTTAAAGGGCAGGGCAAACCATGCAGGACCTGAATGTACTGTATGTGCCATTCAAGATGACGGTGATACTGATAAGCATTTTGCATACGCGAGGAGAACAGCTTCTTCGACCCCTGAAGTGCAGCACCCATCTGAGTGACACATGGCTGCCACTGTGCACCCACAGCTCCACTGCACAGCAGAGTGGCAAGGGAAGTGAGATGCTGCTTCTCCTCTTCTTCACACTGCTTCTTATTGGAGTGGGAAAACAGAATAGCAGATCACTTTCCATAGGCTTCATCAGTTGAACGAGGCTGTATGATCTTTGACACAATGTCAAAGAGGTGTGCGGTTCACAAGCTCAGCTTACTGCTCCTGTCTCTTGCAACCCACGTTTCATGGCAGAGGATGTCTTCTGCAAATTTTAGTGTTCAGTCCTGACTTGTGTTGGTGCTTGACAAGCTTTTGTGGTTTGCTTCTGTGTGGACAATAAAGCAACCCAGAGAAAATAGACTGAGCAG